CTCTCTCTCTCTCTCTCTCTCTCTCTCTCTCTCTCTCTCTCTCTCTCTCTCTCTCTCTCTCTCTCTCTCTCTCTCTCTCTGTGTGTGTGTGTCTCCATCTCTCACACACACACACACACAAACACTCACTCTCACATACACACATGCACACGCGCACACACACTCCTTTTTTTCCCCCAAGAAAGTTCCGCTTCAGCCCACTAGAGGAGGTGATATGAGCATCCCCCTATAGTGGACTTATGGCAGAATGCTTATGTCTATTGGTGGGGAGCGGCACCCCATGAACATCGTGAATAAAGCACCAGCTGGGACCCCACACACACACTTCTCCAAGTTCTGTATAGCGAACATGACAAAACATACACACAGCATAGGCCCCCTCTCTAACCCTTACATATATTTATTAAAATGGCCAACACAGGTTTTTCCTCCTCCCATAGCTATTGAGACTGACCAGAGCAGTTTTAGGGATATCACCCCTCACCGAAACTCCCTTTTGGTGAGTGATGCACAGCTGCCGACAGCCAGAAAACTTGAACACAAGAAATCTCCAAAAGCGCCATTTTCTCTGCCTGCAAGAACCCAGTTTCGGTGGTAAACTTCTGGATGCCAACCTTTTCATGAAGCGAAATTTAGTCGAGACTGGTAGTGCACACCGTTTTCGTTGTTTAGTGCTCAACAAAGTCCAGATTGGACCATATGTACATGCGATCCAGGCCGCGGACCATGTTCGGAGGCCAAACGCGACGCATGCCGCCGATATATTTTATCAACGACACGCCGACTCCGACTTTTTTGGAGTAGGCGACGAACAATTCTCGACACGGCCAGGTGACGGGGCTGCTGCACAGCACTGACCAAATGCACAGCAGTTTGGACGGAGGTGTTTCGTGAGTGTACATCCATTTGATGAGCCTGTGCGGCCACCTTCTATTTGGTGCGTTTTGACGAGTTGAGCACTCACCAAACAGATTTGCCTTTGGTGGCAAGTGGAGAAACAAGTCCAATTTATATTGTGACGTGAATAGAATAAGTTGATATCCTCTGTGTATTCCACCGTATTTCCTCTGCATGCCCCTACACGGTGGTGTTTGCTGGCTTACCCCAAAACCAAGGGCAGGCTCCCACTTACCCAGACTGTGTTTCTAACCATCGATCACAAAGAAAAAGAAAGAAAAAAATGAATGGTCGGGATCGCAATGCTCCGCCAGACCTGTCAGATTAAAAAAATGAAAAAAAAAAAAAAAAAAAAAAAAAAAAAAAAAAAAAAAAAAGCATCCTCTGCCAGATCTGTCAGATTACAAAAATTATTTGCGATCCCAACCATTCAGACCTATTTACAGCTGGGCGCCTGTCGGGATCTGATAGCATACTGAGATTTTCAGGATTTTTGGACGGGTTCACGATATGCATCAGAGCACTGGCAATTATCATATGGTCCACTAAGGGGGGAAATTTCCACAGTTGTGTTCAGACTCTTCAGAGAGAGAAAGATATTATATGTTTCTAACTTTTAAGTAAAATAAAAATTTCGAACAATTTCTAAATCTTCGAAAGCTGACACAGAATCACAGCTTCCACTTTGTGGCTTGGTCATCGTACAAACCAAGAAGTACCTGATTTCCTGAACAGGGAATATACTTTTTGAAATTTTCAACTCATTATCATTACCTTGAAGGCCTCCACCAGATGCAGAGGTGTATAGAAAATTCCCACAGAAGGGATCAATCTTCTGAGAGTGCTCCTCTCTGGGTCCTGCATATGTTCTCTAATCCATAATTCCATTTTCATCATCACCTGCTAAACACCAAAGGAGTGAAATTGGTTGACAGCACATTTGGGTGGTGTGGGGGGGGGGGGGGGGGGGGGGGGGGGGGGGGGGGGGGGGGGGGGAAGCAGGTCAGAATGCAACCAATTTCAAAAACAATGTTCACCAGAATCTTCTTCTTTTTTTTTTTTTTTGTTCACCAGAATCTACGCCGAACCTAAGGAAACAAACAAAAAAAGAAAAGAAAAAGACTCAGCGAAGGCGCATCAGAACGTCCTGTAGCATGGCCTCATCGGCAGCGGCACAGGATCAGAGTAGGACATGCATGGAAGGCCCTGAACAATTGTTTATTCCCTCGTGAAAAATGGAAAACAAGGTAACAAAGCACAAACTTAAACCACCAGTGCACACCTCCCCTTCCTCCAAAACTTGCGGCCTTATCCGCACTGACGGTTGGTTGCCTTTAATTCAAAACATCTAAATCTTTATGTTTGATAATTAACTTCTAAACGAGATCGTTTGTTTGTTTTTTTAACTCGGTTATATGAACTGAAATCTGACACCATGTACTTGAGAAGGCCAGACAGTAGTTACCCGCAAACTGTTGAAATACAGATCCAAGTTCAAATCCATACAAACAGATGACCAGACAATTCTACCCGAGACTGGTCAGTTGGAAAGATGATATCTCAAGGCCGCCATCGTTTTAAAAAAACAAAAAACAAAAAAGACAGTAGTTACCCGTGGAGAAGTGGCCTCCAGACAAGACGTTCACAAGATAAGATGTATCTTTTGCAAACCCGCAGGCAGGTACATCTGCCAGACGCGCCCGTGAGCACTGCCAATTGTAGAAAAAGGGCTGGGAAAAGTACTGGTGGTTTAAAAAAACGAGTGGACATCTCTGCCGCTGATCTGTCACATATTTGTATCTCAGCCTTAGGAAGAAAGATGAGAGTAAAGGAGAACAGGGTGGGGGGTAGAGGAAGAGAAAGGGGAATTTAAAGAAGATCTCAAGAGGAAAAGCAAAGATGAAAGTCCACTACCAACAGTATAAGCACAGACTTGAGCAAATTGATTTCTAACCACACAGATCCATCATCTTGACGGTTGGCAATCAATTGGCTCACATCCGAGCTTATCCTCCTGCTAGTGAAGTTTCAGTCCGAGAGTTCTGTAAATCACAGAACGCCGAGGAAGCTCAAAACAACACAATTTTTTTTTTTACTTGAACTTATTTTCCTTTCAAAACAAACACAATTACCAAAAGAATAAGTACTTTATAGAAAGAAAGAGAAAGAAAGAAGTCCTTAGGGACATCCATTAAAATTGGAATGATACAGAGAGGGAAGATTGGCATGGCCCCTGCACAAGGATTGCACGCATAAATCGAGAAATAGTCCAAATTATTCATTAAAAAAAAAGGAAGAAAGAAAGCAAAGAAAAAAGGCAGGAAAAAGTTTGAACCCACGTACCTCTAAAGGTGAGTGTGTCCTGTGCATACTCATGATGAACTCCACAAAGCCATCCTGGGAGAAAAAGAGGAAAAAAAAAAAAACAGGCGGATGAGAAATAAGGGCCCAAGAACAACAAGCTAAAGAAAAGATGCCCAGTCAACTTCTTTTTTTTTCGTTTTTTTTTTTCCTTTTTCACCCTGAATTCTACGTAGTTCAGCTGTGTACACCTAGTTCCACTGAGATGCCCGCTCAATTTTTCTTATCGTTTCTTTAGTCTTTTTTGATACTTTAAACCACCATGACGATTCCAATAAATTCCTCAGGCTTTTTTTTTTGCCTGACATGGCCCGCGTCGCAGCTCTCAAGGGCAGGGGCCGCCTTTGATTTCGTTCATCAAGGGCGCATGGTATGGTTATGGTGAATCGGAGAAATTTGCCTGTGAAACGTACTGCTGGTTCAAGTTGATTACTTTTTTTTTAAGTTGTTATCCGCTTTTCTTCACTAACCCTTACATACTGACCGCTGAGTGTACCTCTTTTCCTTGCTTTGGCCCTTTAGGGCCTCTGAGTGTACCTCTTTTCCTTGTTTTGGCCCTTTAGGGCCCCTGAGTGTACCTCTTTTCCTTGTTTTGGCCCTTCAGACCCTTTTGGGAATCAGATGGTGGTGCATTCTCTTTGGGATCTCAATTACGCACTACTGAAGGGCCTCTTGCGTACAAGACTCCCCTCGTCTCAGGATCTTGTTCCACTTTGGAGGTTTTGCGCACAAGAGCCCGACTTAGCTTCGGGCGAACTGGTGGTTTAAGAGATAGTGACCTTTGATCTTCATTACCTTCCGGTCAGTGTGTCTTAATCCGTGCTACGGTGAATGGAAACCCGGGCACAAAGTTAACAAAGCTGCCCCATTCCGCCAAAATCCGAGCTGAGAACAGGACAGCTATGGTTCGTTTCGGTTAGGCCTGTGGCATCACTTGGAATGTTGGTTTTTGGTGGATGTGAGGTTTTCCAGCAGGTGACGCTCCCCACCAATAGATGGAGCCTCTCCCCAGGTGCTAGTGGTGTCTGCTCCTATCAGCATCACTAACACCGGTGGAGTTG